AGAATCTGTTTTGTTTGTTTGCCTGTTTGCTTGTTTTTGAAATGAGGTCTTGTTATGTACCCTCATAGGCTGGCCTTGAGCTCACCATCCTCTGGCCTCAGCTTCCGGAGTTTTGGGATCACAGGCATGTGCCAGCCTGCCTGGCTTGTTACACAGAATTGTAACTGCTGGCCTGACTCTCCGACTGGTGGTGGTGGGGTCTCTTGAGGTCAGAGACCACCCTGCATGTGTCTTCTCCCTCCTGTCACAGCACAGAACATATGGGGTGACTGTCAGTATTAGTAGCTGACTTTGGCTGGACATTGGAGACCTGCTTTTACTTTGATCTATGGCCAATTCAATCACAGGCCATTTTCTGTCCAGGTTACTCTCTGCTAAGGTTACCAAATAAAAAATAAGATACTCATTTAAATTTGAATTTCAGAAAACCAACAAACACAACTTTAGCCTAAGTATAGCACAGATATTGCAAGGACATACTTACACTAATAAATTGTTTACCTGACGTTCAAATGTAATCAAGAATTCCATCTTCATGATTTTGTTTCAGAATCATCTGTTCACAGAAGCCCTGGGCTGCAAAGCCTTTCGACCTTGTGTGGAATGTATAGCCTGTGTTGGACATCCTTCTGATGGAAGCTGTGTTTAAAAAAATATATTTATTTTTATTTTGTGCGTATGAGTGTTTGCTTGCTTGTATGTATGTACGTGCACTATGCGTATGCGGTGCTCATGGAGGTCAGAAGAGGGCGTCAGATCTCCTGGAAGTGGAGTTGTTAGCTGCCATTTAGGCGGTGGGAACAGAACCCAGGTTTTCTGCAAGAGTAGCCTGTGCTCTCTTCAGCCCCAGGAAGCTATGTTTGGATGCCATTGACCTTGAGGATGATGCCACCGACCTTCAGAATGTTGCCCATAATGACATCACCAGACCCCCAAACACATCCAGCCCTGTGACTCAGGGCTTTAAACCCAGCCACCAGAAGTTGTAGACACATTAAATACATCAGAGACGGTACTTTCCTCGGGTCTCCGTAGCCTCCCCTAGGCTTGCAGGGCCTTATGTATGCCCACCACACTGCACTTGGCCTTGGGGCTCTGCTCTTGCCCGCCCGCATTTGTTCCAGAGCCCAGAGACTGTGAACCAGAGAATTTATTCTCCAGGAGGGAGTCTCCGTAGCCGTGGGGCGGGGCCTGGTGGCTGGAGGGACACGTGTGCTGGAGCAAAGCAGGAAGTGACTGCAGGAGTGGAGCGACCGAGCGTGTGGCTGCAGGGGCTGATGGAAGTGGAGTGGGGGCTGGAGAGGGCACCCTAGTGAGTCGCCTTTTCTCTCCTTCAGCGCCTGAGGTTGGGCTGGAGGCCCGGGGTCTGGGACAGTCCCGACAGGAGTGTGCAGCAGCCTGGAGCTTGGGAAGGGGTGCCCTGGGGGGTGGGGGAGGGCAGGTCCTGGAGGGGCAGCAGGGGCCCTGGCAGGTGGCAGCGGAGGGAGCCCACTCCCCACCCCGTGCCTCCCCGGGCTGAGCCTGAGGTGATGATCTGCAGGCTCTCAGTGCTCAGCCCAGGTCTTCTTCATTCATTGCTTCGTGGTGTTGTGTGGGGTCCAGGGATAGCCTGGACTCCGATGGCAGCAGTTCCGAGGCCCCTCCTACTTGCTCTGGAACCGTTTTGGGGAGCTGGCTAGCCTGCAGCAGGTCTGGGGGAGGCCTCAGAGTTCCCAGGTGGGCAGGTCCCTGACCATACTGTTTGGCTTGCTGGAGAACCTTGCCATGATCGCACTGGGGCAAACCCTGAGCCCTTTGGAAGGCTCCCCTGGCGGAGTCTGGCCTGTGTTCTCTGCTGGTTCCTAGAAGCCCAAGTGTGTTCCATCTTTTCACTCAACCAGTGTCTTGAAGCAGAAGCAACAGAGTTAACAGAGGAGGGAAACAAACAAAACAGAATAGAAAGAAAGATTTTATTAGCCACAACAAACTGGCCTCGTGTGCCACCTTAGCAGACAGCTCGTGGGCAAGGTGGCACATGAGGCCGACCTATTGGCTTCTTTGAGGTGAGAATGGGCAGAGCATGGTCCTCTCTCCTGTTCACTGGTGCAGTTTACTCCTGTTCACTGGTGCCTGAGTGACTGGCCTGTGTGGCTCCTAAGGGCTGTTGGGTACAACTTTTCTCTTCCCGCCTGTCATCCTTGCTCATTCCCTGCAGGATGAGCTCTTGGTCTTGTAGAATCTGGACCAATTTAAAAGCGTACTTCACTGTGTAAGAATCCCCCATGGAGTTAGATAAACTGCAGATTCCAATCCAGTAAGTGTGGTGCCACCTAAGACTAAGTAGCTCCCAAGCCTGTTCCCTTCAGTTTTTAGAGTGCCCACCATGCACAAAACCATGAGTTTGAGCCCCAGCGCTGCATAAAGCACATGTAGCACATGCCTGTAATCTCTGCACTTGGGAAGCGGAGACAGAAAGATCAGGAATTCAAGGTTATCCTCTGCCACATAGTAAGTTCAAAGCTACATCATAAGATCCTGTGTCAAAAAAAAGACCCCCCCCCCAAAAAAAACCACAAAGTAACTCTGAAGGGGTCTGCTGCTAGCTCTCACCACCCTTTGAATGGAGAGATTTTTAAAAAGTAATGAAGAAACTTCCCCAAGGGATGCCAGGCTTGTAGTGCTTGTGATAAACGCTGTTATGGTTGGGATGGACAGGATATGAGGTCAGTCTTCCTCCACATCCTTTTTCCCACTTCCCAGGTGCTCCGATATACATGGCGATAGGCTTAGAAGAGTGTTTTCCCCTTCCTGTTCACCGCCATGGACACCCACAGTGCCCTTCTATTTGATTTCCCTGGTTGGCAAATGAGGATTGCTTATCTTCCATAGCTGTCAGAAGGAACATTCAGATGGGGTGGAGGTGGCTCAGGGACAAAGGTGGTTTGTGCTGTGGTCTGTCGTGGACAGTGAGCACTGAGCGCTAGCTCTGTGCCTGTCTTTGTGAATGTGTTAAGTTTTACCCACAAGCAGCTGGGAATGGATGGTCAGTATCTTATGGTCCAGGTGTCTTGGTTTAAAAACAAACATGAGCCACTGTTTTGAGGGTGACTTGATGTGGGGATGATGTATGTAAAAGGCTGGCTTCTTTTAAAATGATTTTTTTATCATTAATTTGTGCCGTTTTCATCCTGAGTTCCTGTATCAGGTGTGTTCAACCTAGAGTCTAGGGGGCATCTACATCCCGGGATAGCTGTGAATACAGCCCAACACAAAGTTTAAACTTAAACCATTGTGAGATTTGGGGGGGGCGTGTTTTAAAATAAAAATTTCTTTATTCATTTTGTGTGTTTGTGGGGAGCTTATGCATGCCAGGGGGCACATGTGGGAGTTGGTTCTCTTCTATATGTGTGTGCAGGGAATTGAACTCTGGTTGTCAAGCTTGGCAGTAGGCTCCTTTACCTGCTGAGTCATTTCACAGGCCTGGATTTGTGTGTGTGTGTGTGTGTGTGTGTGTGTGTATGTGTGTATGTGTATGTGTGTGTGTGTTGTGTGTATTTCTCAGACATTAATTTTGTAGGTGACAGTGTTGTGTTACACATTAAAAGATTGAATACCACCTGAATTCATGGATGCTGTTTACCTCAGAGGTTTCCTAGAACAGGGCCAGAGCCTGGCTGGGTATGGATTGGGCATAGGGCGCAGTCTACCCTCTTCTGTGGGTTCCTCTCAGGGCCAACAGTGGCAGCTTCTTCAGCTCCTGATATGCAGGCGTGGAGCTCCTGGTTCCTCAGCACTGGCCCTGGCAGAGCTGAGCCAGGTAGAGTCTGGTCCAGCCCTGTGGGTGCTGGAGAACCAAAGGGGAGCTGAATGAGGCCTTTGAGTTGAGGCCCGGAGACCAGTGCATGTGTGTGCCAGGACACACTGCTCCACAAGTGGGCTTCTCTGTCTTGGGAACTTTCCACAGGGAGAGGCCCTGCCTCTGTCAGTTCAGAGCGAGTAGGGTAGGCTCAGTCAAGCCTGAGGAGGTTCTTTGGGCCCGTACAAAGGAAGGCCTTTTTCCCTTGGTGGACAGTGGTACCACTTGATGGTCAGCAGTGCTGTGCTGAGCTTGGCCAGGACAAGTGCCGTTCATGGCTCTGCTTCCTTGTTCAGATAAACTGGCTCCTTTTCATGTAAGAAGTATTGAGCCTTAAGCCCCATTTCATAGGGCTATGGAAAAGCATGGTCCCTGTTTTCAAGCAGTTAAGGGTATGAAAGATGAAGGAGGCAGGCCTGCACAGAAAGCAGCAAAGGTACTGTGTGTGGTGGGGGGGTACCGTGACAGATTTTGCCACAGAGCTGGCATCAGGTGGACCACAGAGGCGGGTCTGGTGCTGCAGGAGGTGTGGAAGGAAGGTGCCCCTAGAGCGGCTCATTGGGAACAGGGACTTGGAGGCGTGAATGGAGCCGGAGGTGATGCCTGCACCCTGCACCATGTGGAGTTGGGCTTGGGGAGTCCAGGGAGGATGGAGGATCATGCAGTAGGGGTTTTGACTTTGGTAGGCCAGGGTAAGGTTCTGTCCTGGGGAGGCGTGACTGGGAATTAGAAGGAAGTGCTTGTAGAAGGGAATTTGAGCTAGTGGCCTGTGTTTGGAGGAGACTGAGAAGAAATTACAGGCGTGGGCTGGTGCATAGGCAGAAGGTGCGAGAAACCCTCCACAGCCCTCACAAATCCTATTCTTCTCTTGGGAGCAGCTTCTCAGTGCTGCAGCCTCTTAGGAAGGCTCCCTGGTTCCTCTCTCCAGGCATCCCCATGTCTCCTGTCAGAGTAAAATGACTTTCTATATACCAGGGAGCTGGGGTGGAAAAGTTGACCCCGGCACTGGGGTATCGAGGACCATTGTGTTGGTGTGACAGAAAAGATGTAGACCACCAACTCAGACTGAGGCCGACCCAGGCATGGGGCTTTAGGACATGGGTGTCATTGTCAGGGCCCCCCTCCCCACTGCCAGCACCTGATCGTCTCGCTCTTCTGTACACAGCTATATCCAGCATGCTCCAAGGCCACGGTTCCGTGTTCCAGGCCTTGCTGGGGACCTTCTTTACCTGGGCCATGACAGCAGCCGGGGCAGCTCTTGTGTTCGTATTCTCTAGTGGACAGGTGAGTTGCTTCATTTCTGGAGGTTCACAGGGACCCCCTTATCAAGCTCTGAAACTGGCCCCATTCCACACAGCAATTGGCAGCAGCCAGTGGCGGGTGGTGGGTGGTACGGTTTTTCCCCCGTCTCCTTACCAGGCCAGAAAACAGGTACCTGTTAACGCAAGCTACTCATGGTCTGGTCTCCTTCTCTATACGCTGACTTGAAGGCTGGGTGAGCAAGGGCCCTGCTGCCTCATTTCTAGCTCCCATCTGGTTTCCTGCAGGCCTGGAACAGTCCTATGAAGGACTGAAGAAGAAGATTGGGTTTCATTTGGAACCATCCTCCCCTGTGGCTTTGAGTTAGCCAGACAATTGAAAGACCATGGGGCAGGGAAAGGAAGGGGATTCTTTTCTTCTTTTCTACCCCAGGCCCAGGGCTTTTCATTCTTCCATTTTGGCTGAAGGTAGGTGGGCCACCTCCTCATCCCCCAGCAGACATCACCTCTATCCCTCTGTGTCCTCCTGGATGAATAGACCAGCCCTCCTCCTCCTCCTCATCCCCCAGCAGATACCACCTCTGTCCCTATGTGTCCTCCTGGATGAATAAACAAGCCCTTCTCCTCCTCCTCATCCCCCTGCAGACACCACTTCTGTCCCTATGCGTCCCCATGGATGAATAGACAAGCACTTCTCCTTCTCATCCCCCAGCAGACACCACCTCTATCCCTATACGTCCCCATGGATGAATAGACAAGCCCTCCTCCTCCTCCTCATCCCCCTGTAGACACCACCTCTGTCCCTATGCACCCCCCGCCCCCCTGGATTAATAGGCCCTCCTTCTCCTCATGTCCCCATAGACCCTTTTATCTGCCTGTTTCTATCTCCATACATCCTCTCCCACTGGGTAAATACAGACAGGCCCTCTTCCTCATGCTCCTGCTAACTTTACACCTACCTACCCCAGCCCTCAAGCTTTTCCTTGACTGAATATAGATACCTCCATCCCCTAATATCACACCTGCTCACTGCTATCACCATGCATTCTTCCTCCTGAATGATTACAGAAAGCCCTATCCACTTATCCCCTCTGTGGACCCCTGTGGCCTGCTCAACCCTATCCTCATGCACCTTCTCTGTTGGATGAGTACAGACAGGCCCACCTCCTTGTCCCTCTGCTGGTCCCATGTCTGCCCACACCTAGTTGGAGTGCATACCCCCTCCTGGATGAATGCACATGGTCCCACCTCCTCACCCTCCTGCAGACCCCACATATCTGCCCATACCTTGCCTCACATATCCTCCACATACCCTGCATATAGTCCCCCGTACCCTCATTCATTCTCAGGCCCCACATCCTTTCATGATCTGCATCTTCCATTTCTCTCCATCCTCCACACTTCGAATTCCTCCATCCCTCCTCCACACTCCACACACACCCTCCTCCACACTCCACACACACCCTCCTCCACACTCCCCACACACCCTCCTATACTCCACACCACACACACAACCCACACCCAGTTTTTATGCCTGAAATTCTACTCTTCCCCTAATCATGAGCTTCTCCATCCCCAGCCCAGGGCCACCTGTGGCTATTTTGAAGCATACAGCCCTTGCATTGTTCAGGGCACAGCTCTAGATACTGTAAGAGTAACATGTGAGAAAGTGGTTTAGATTTATTCAAAGACACTGAGCCCCGGATCTGGGAGGAACACACAAGTTGTTAGTTGGCATATCACGCCCCTTGTGTTAGAGACCAGTTTGGCAGGTATTGGTTTCAGCAGTCAGCTCTTGCCTTCTACACGGCCGCCTCCTCCCTTCCTGGGGGAACTTGGCACAAATCCATCAGAGATTTAGCGCTCAAACTACACAACCAGGAATCAGAGTACCTGAGATCTCAGTATACAAGACACCTAGATAAATCAAATTCACAGATAGGAAGTAGAATGGTGGTTGCCAGGAGCTGGGAGGAGGAGAAGGAGGATGTTGAGTGGGTCTAGAAAGGCCTTGTGTGCAAGCATGGCTCATGTTACATAGCATAGTGTCCTTGAGATTCAGCCACACTGCCCCATGTACCAGACTTTCCTCCCTTTAAAATTTTCAAAAATTTTTTTGGCCTTTTTGAGACAGGGTCTCCCTGTAGCCCCAGCTGTCCTGGAACTCACTATGTAGACCAGGCTGGCCTTGAACTCACAGAGATCCAGTTCTGCCTGCCTCTGCCTCCCGAGTGCTGGGATTAAAGGTGTGTGCCACCACGCCCGGCTTTCAAAATTTTTTAAATGTTATGTGTATGAGTATTTTTCCTGCATGTATGTAAGTGCACACTGTGTGTGCAATGCCCATGGAGGACTTCAGATCCCCTGGAACTGGAGTTATGGCTGGTTAGCCACCATGTGAGTGCTGGGAACCAAACCCAGGTGCTCTGCAAGAGCAGCCAGTGCTCTTTATTGCTGAGTCATCTCTCCAGCCTCTTTCTTCCCTTTTTAATGCTGAAGAGCACTCTGCTGTATGCAGTGATTACCACTTGCGTGTGGACAGGTGCTAAAAAGACCTTTTTACTGGAACAGAGGATGCACACAGAAAAGTAGACATAAGTATCCAGTTTGACTTTTTTCAAACAGATAACCATGAGTCTAGGGCCTAGATCAATACTAGCTCCTCATAGCCCCTTAAGGCCCCCGTCCAGCTACTACCCAATCCCGACTTCTGCTCCAAGTATAAACCCCCTCTTGCTCTCCCACAGTGGAGGTGCTTTTCCCTGTTTTTAGTGTTGGTGTTAGATGCAGAACTGTTCTGTGCCTGGCTGAATTCACCCTGTTCAGTTGCCAATGTACATAGTGCTTCTGCCCTGTGTGCAATATACATAGATATTAATGTACACTATATGTATGTAGTATGTTCTCTAGACATGTACTGTGTGTATACTTGATATATAAATGCACATAGTGTGTTCTCTAGATGTGTAATGTGTGTATGTAAGCTCTATATGCATATAGTTTGTTTTCTATATATGTAATGTATATATACTATATATGCACATAGTGTGTTCTCTAGATATATAGTGTATATGCTTTATATAGAAATGCACATAGTGTGTTCTCCAGATATGCAGTGCATGTGTATGAACAAAATATATATGTACATAGTTTATTCTTTATATATGCAATGCAGGTGCATGATATGTATGCACATAGTATGTTCTCTGTATATGCAGTGCAGGTGTATGCATGCTATATATGCAGAGAATGTGTTCTCCAGATATGTAATGTGTGTATGCTTGATATATAAATGTACATAGTATGTTCTCCAGATGTGTGAGTTGTATATGCATGCTATATATGCATATAGTATGTTCTCTCTGTGTGAAATGCATGTGTCTGCATGCTATATGTGCACATAGTGTGTTCTCTATATGCAATGCATGTGTCTGCATGATATATTTGCACACATGATATATGTGTGTAGTGTGTTCTCTAGATATGTGATATGTATACACATACATGGATATAGCATGTTCTTTATATATGTAATACGTGTGTCTGCATGATATATGTGCACATAGTATGTTCCCTAGATATGTGATGTGTGTCTGCATGATATATATGTGCCTAGTATCTTCTCTCTCTATGCAGTGCACGTGTCTTCACGTTTCCTCACTGCCCTGTGGTGCTTGGTTGTGTTGTGAATGTCCTAAGTGGTGTATCCTTCCGCCTGTGTGTGGAACTCCATGAAGTTTCTAGAGAATGCACACAAGTTGGTAATTCCAAGCACGCATTTCACTGCTCAGGAGTGTGTGCACTACAGTCAGTTGTCATCGGCCCCGCCCTCCACATGGCTTTTGACAAGATTATGCCATTTGTATCCTGACTCCTGTGAAGGTTTTGGTTGCTCCTGCTCCTCACCAGCCCTGGGCCATTTCCATATTTTCTGTCAACTCCTTATTAAAGTTCATGGTTGTAATGACTAGAGGAGCTGAGGAAGAGAACATGCGGGCCAGTGCACCCCACGACCTCCCAGGACAATTCTAACTGGGGTGGATGGCAGTTTTAACTGTTTTCCATCTTGATTCTTGCTCCGGTGTACAAGCTCAGGAGTTCACCACCACCAAGGAGTGGGCCAGTGGCACTCTTGGCCTTTATGGTTTTCTCTTGGCTAAGGCCACATCATCTTGTCCTTAGAAACTGAAATGTCTTATTTTTCATTTTCAGAGGCGGATCTTAGATGGAAGCCTCGGCTTTGCTGCAGGGGTAAGTTGCACACAGTGGGAGAAACGTGTCGATACTAACCTTTCCTTGCGTGGGGCTAGTGTCAGTCTTTCTCCACAGCACCCAGATGCAGCTGGCTTCTTTCTCCAAGTACTGATGCTCCCCCACTCCTCATCACTGGCTGTGTTCATTTCCTAGTTTATCAGGTGGTCCTGCCCTGCTTTAGACAGAGAAGCAGCTTGCTTGGCAGGACTTAGAAGATAAGACAGTATTTAGGAAGGGCCTAGCTTAGTACATGGTTACCACTAATTATATATCTCCTTGCAATCCTCTCTGCTCTCCTTAGGACTTTTATTATAAATACTTTTAAATATGTAGGAAAAAGTAGAGTAAGATATGTCGCTGGTACCCATCACCCACCTTCAGTTATGATTGACGTTTCTCGAATCTCATTTCGTCTGTCTTCCCCCACCTTCTTGGGAGCTTAGAATGTTTTGTAAAAGCAAATCCCAGATACATGTAATTTCACCTGTAAATTCAATACATATCTCTAACTGAATGACTTCTTAAAAAACCATAATCAGCACGTCATCATCACACCTACCAAAATTCAAACAGTAATTCCTCATTGTAATCTAACGCTCAACCCTTATTCAGATTCCCTCCTGTCCTCTAAGATTGTTCTGCCAGAGCTGGGTTGCAAACGTGATTGCTTTGTGGCATTTGTTTGCTGTATTTTCTAGGTCTGTCCAGTCTTCTTTCATTCTTTAAGAGTCTATACAGCCCTCCAAGTAGGAAATTTGTTGAAGGACCTAGATCATTTATTTCTAGATTGTTCCACATTCTGAATTCATTCATTCATAATTTAACTGATTCCTTCCTTTTGTGTCTACCTTGTTTCCTCTCTCTCCTGTAAGCTAAGAGTTAGACCCAGAGGCTCAATTAATTCAGGTTGCATTTTTCTTTTCTTTTTAAAAATGTTTTTAAGGCATGGTGGTGCATGCTTTTAATCCCAGCCCTTGGGAAGCATAGGCAAAGGGATCTCTATGAATTCAAGGCCAGCATGGTCTACATAGAGAGGGGACGGGAGAAGAGGAGAGATTTCTCCTCCCCTCCCCTTCTCTGTCCTCCCCCCTGCTTCTGTCCCCCTTCCCCCAGCTCCCCTTCCCTTCCCTGTCCTCCCCTAACCTCCCCTCCTGGTCTTCCCTTCCCCTCCTGTCCCTTCCCATCCTGTCGCTTCCCCTCCCTTCCCTGTCCCCCTCTCAGCTCTCTGATCTTAAAATTATCTGTTACCGAAAGTACAGTGTGATCTTCCGAGGCTCTGTCTCTGACTTAGGCCACGCTTCCCAACCTCTGTAGTGGTGCCTGCACCAGGAGGATAGCACTTGGTTGGGGCTGGCCTCTATTCTGTTCTGTTTTTCAAGGTTCCCTCTCTTTCTGGTTACTGAAACTGTTTTTGCATCACCGCCCGCCTTGTGGGATAGCTGCTTTGCGTCTAGTCCTAGTGTATTCCCCGGACATTCTAATAGTCTGCACAGTGGATGAAGCACTGATAATTGCCCGGCTAATCATGAAATAATTTGTATTTACTATGGCAGTTCTGTGCACCAGGGCAGCAGTTCATAACTGCGGGAGACAGTTACCGTGCCTGGCTGTCTCAGCTGGTATCTGTTGGTGATAGTAAGGGTGCTCATAAACATCCTGTGGTGCTCGGGGCACGTTGCATCATGGCCGTGAAGATTTCACGGAGTAGCAGTAGAGCTGAGGCAGAGAAGCCAAGGTCCTGAGCATTTGTGTCTACCTTCTGTATTCAGAATGGAATGGTGTACCACCTCCCCAACCCAGCCCTCAGATGCTTTGAGTATGTACTTGGTGTGTGTGGGTCCACATGCCCATGTTGGCATGTGGAGGCCAGAGGTGGGTATCAGCTATCTTCCTTGGTTGGTCTCCATTTTTCTTTTTTTGTGGGGGGGCTTTTTGAGACAGGGTCTCCCTGTAGCCCCAGCTGTCCTGGAACTCACTATGTAGACCAGGCTGGCCTCGAACTCACAGAGATCCGCCTGCCTCTGCCTCCCGAGTGCTGGGATTAAAGGTGTGTGCCACCACGCCTGGCTGTTGTTCTCCATCTTTTTGAGACAGGGTCTTTCACCAAACCTGGAGCTTGTTAATTCAGCTAGGCTGGCTGGCCAGCAAGTCCCAGGTGTCCTTCTGCCTCTGCCTTCCCAGCACTGGGATTATGGTGTGTGCTTTCACACCCAACCTTTTAACTCTGTTGTTGGGATAAAACACTCTGACCAAAAGCAATTTGGGAAGGGTTTATTTGGCTTCCACATCCAGGTCATAGTCCATTATTGAGGGAAGTCAGGACAGGAATGGAAGCAAGAACAGAAGCAGAAACCATGTTTAGCTAGTTTTCTCATACAGCCCAGGCCCATCTGCCTAGGGATGGTGCCACCCATAGTGGGTTGGGTCCTCCCACATTCATCATCAGTCAAGACAATCCCTTACAGACATGGCCACAGGCCAGTCTGATCAAGGAAATTTTCCAATTGACGGTCCCCCTTCCTGGGTGACTCTAGGGTGTGCCAACTTGACAATAAAACCTAACCAGGACACTTGGGTTCTGTGGGATTGAACTCAGGCCCTCATGCTTGAAGGACAAGTCCTTTACTGACTGAAGCAGTTGGTTAAGTAGGGTCCCCTTGTGCCGAGCAGAGGTGCCTGCACAGTGCTCACCCTGTGTTTTTCCAGTCAGTCACATGTCCACTTGTGCATGTGATGTATCTTCATCTGTAAGTCTCTATAGAATGCTGCAGTGATGTACTTATACAATATTTGATTGCTTACCGGAATAAATGTTTTAGTAGCGATATTCTTGGGACAAAGAGCCTGTAGACTGTAGATGGCTGAACAGTCCTTTCCACAGGTTATTGCTCCTCATTGGCAGAGCCTTGGAGGTGTGACTCCATTCCCCTTAAAGACTCCTCTGGCCCCTCGTTGCCCGAGGCTCCAGCCATCATTACTCTCCTGAGCACCAACGTCTTCTCTTAATTTTTTGTCAAAGTTATGAACGTAATCGCGAGAACCATGGACGTCAGAAAATGTAAGACAGGGCTGCAGAGATGACTCAATCAGTAGTGCAAGCACGAGGACCTAAGTTTGATCCCCAGGACCCATGTAAAAGAGCCAGGCATGGTGGTGCATACCTGTAATCTCATGACGCCGAGATGGAGGCAGAGACGGGCGGATCCCTGGAGCTCACAGGCCAACTCACCTGGTCTACTTGACTAAGTTCCAGGTTAAAGAGAGACCCTGCCTCAAAGAAAAAGTCGAAAGTGGCGTGAGGAACAATACCCTAGGTTGTCCTTTAACCACAACTTGCTCAGACATGCATGCATGCAACTCTTAACCCCATGAATATGTACATACACATACGTGCACATACACAGACAAAATCAACAAAACCCAAAAATATTTCTATCCATGACAACAAATGGATGATCTCTATTTCTTTGTTGAAATCCAAGAGCAGAGCAACCTGAAGTTAGAGAAGATTCCAGATGCTTAGCGAGTCCTTGCTGTGGTGCATCGTGGGAAGTGCCAGTCATTTCACCTTGATCATTGTGCTGGATAGCTTTGGTGTCAACTTGACACACCTGGGTAGAGGGAGCCTTAAGTGGGGAATTTCCTCCATTGGACTGGCCTGTGGTCATGTCCATGGGGCACCTTCTTGATTGATGAGTGATGTGGGAGCCCAGCCTATTGTGGGTGGTGCCACCCCTAGGCAGGTGGGCCTGTGTTGCATAAGAAAGCAGGCTGAGCAGGGGCCAGAAGAGCAAGCCAGTAAGCAGTGTTCCTCCTTAGCCTGTGCTCCAGCTCCTGCCTCCAGGTTCCTGTCCTGAGTTCCTACGTTGGGCTCCCAGATGAGCTGTGACCCGGGATATGTAAGCTAAATAAACCCTTTCCTCCCCAAGTTGGTAGTGGTCAGAGTATTTTGTCACAGCAGTGGAGAAACAAACTAAGACAATCATCTAGTTCCATTTTCACAGCAATTCCATGAGGTTTATGCGGTATACTGTGAGTCACTCCCACTTTGCAGGCACAGAGTTTAAATAACTTGTGATCACACGGTGAACAGAGCCAGGTTCTGAACCCACCATCTGTGGAGCTCCCATGGTTAAACCACAGTGCTTTGCAGTTGATGTCTGGTCCAGTTGCCTGTATTTACAGACAAGAAGTAAGTTTAATGTTGCATTGAACATCTTTAGTTAGAAGCAAACCCAGATGAGAAACGGGGGGATGCCAGTATCTTGTTGAGTGATCTTGACCAGGTTCCTTTGTCTTCTGGGCTTGCACTGACTGTGCTGAGAACTGGGGCCAATGGCTGATGGTTCACTAGAACTTCTTGATGGCACATACAGTACCAGCCCTCTGGAGGCTGAGGCAGAAGGATCCTGAGTTTGAGGCCAGCTTGGGCTATATAGCTAGACTGTATTGGTGCTGCACGTTTGAAGGGTGAGTCTCAGCACAGGTTGGCACACATCTCTCACTGTAGGGTAGCTGTGAAGTGTGTCAGACATGGTCTGCTTTCCTCCTCAGGGGTATGTCTCAGTGGTACATAGCTTTTCACGCGCATGAGCTAGCCATCATGGCCCTTGTGGATGTCTAGTTGAATCTGAATGGAGTCAAATATGGAGAGTCACCATTAACTTCCCTCTGCTTGGACAGGGTATCTCTTGTGAGGGAGTGGGTACCAACTGGCTATCTACATGAGTGTGCAGTCTGTCTTGAAAAAGCACTTCTGTAGGACAGACACGACTGTGAAACCACAGAAAGAGGCCTACCCACGGAGACGCTCTAGGCATTGAAAGGCAATTTAGACCCATCGTTCTATCCCATGGGGAGCTAGTTTCTTAGAAAGACATGATTTTCTTGAGCTTTTGACCGTGTCTGCTTTGGGGCAGCAAGTAGTGGATCATGTTTTCTCCAGATAATGGGTTCGCTGTTGGAAGTTGACAATGCTGCCCCATCATGGCCACTGA